TTCGAGCCCCCCAGCACACCACTCACTCTCATAAGCCTCGTATGAAATATTCGAGGCATATGGAACTTCAATGGGCCTCTCATAAATCATTCGAAGCTCGCCCATGCGAGCCTCGCATGAAATATTTCTCATGTGACTTTCATGAGAACTCATTTGAGTTTCATGAGGGCCTCATTTGAGACTTCGTGGGAGTCTCATTTGAGCGCATCATGTGAGCCTCGTTTGAGCGCATCATGTGAGCCTCATTTGAGTGCTTCATGAGAACAGTGAAAATGAAACTGGAAAAGCACAAATACAAAATGCAGTTACGAATGAAAACGAAACACACAAAATGCAAGAAAAGATGCGCACAAAACATCACAAAATGAAAATGAAAATGTGCACACACACAAAATGCAAATGCGCCGCAGGCGGCTGGTTGACGTGCAAAAATAAATATTTCTCTTTCCTGAACCAGATCCTCATATTTGTGCTAGGATCGAACGCCTCAAGTAGCCTCAGCTTTGCTACTTCGTAGTTGACTATAGATGCTGACGCTGTCGCAGTTACGAACGTGGTGTTGTTGCCGCTGACGCTGCTACTGTCGCTACTCATGTGGCGGCTCCCGACTGGTTCGCGATATTTTTTTTTTGTTGCGGGAGCGCCGCACTTGTCTGCACTTGTTTGGCACGAAGTTGAGCGTGCTCTTGAACGAAATTGTCACCCGTGCCCTCCATCGAGGGGGGTTAAAAGTTAGACGCGAACTGGTTTTACGTACCCGAATTAGCGTGACTGTTGTCGCCACCACGGATTTCTTTTAAGGCTGGTTTTTGGCGAGCAAAAAACTTTGAGTGAGAACAAGCTCCGATTACCAAGTGTGAGGATCGATGATCAAGTTCAGAGATTATATTTTGAATCCTGGGTACAACTACGTGACTATTATAGGCACGACACAAGGCATGTAACCAGGATGTTACACGCATGTTCCGTGCATCGAGAACCGTCAGAAACAAAACCTTCCCGAATTCGGTAGAGTAAACTCGGTGATATTCACGCTCATTTGAGATCACGCAAGATAATTCTAGAAAATAGGAATTTGGTAAGCGCAACCTATTTCGGAGCTTGAACTATAATAACCACTTTAAAGGCAACGAATCGGGAAATATGTTCGGAATGATAATAGAAAGTAAGAAAAGGCAAGTTGAGGTAAGAACGGGCGTTGTACTCTCACAATGCCTCTCTTAGACATCTTAGTTTGCAGCTGGGATAAGAAACTGTCAGAACCATATTGTAGGCTGTAGTGGGGTTGACAATATGGGGTACAACTCTTTTAGGTTTTCATATTTGTACCCACCTGTTTCCTAGTTGATTCATTCCTCGTACAATTCTCACATGGTATAGAGCGGGTTCCCTAGTGGGACCGTTTTTTTTAACCCACCACTTGAAAACTTTTTTTCTGCCCTGCCCGAAGCGCGCCTCGGGCTCTGCCCTACGGCCGCCCTTAGCGGCCTGCTCTGACGTCGCGGCCCTTAGAGGCCCGCCCTGCCGCCCTTACGCGGCCCTTAGCGGCTCGCCCGCCCTTTCGTCGCGGCCCGCCCGCCCCCCCCTTCGTCGCGGCCCTGAGCAGTGAAAACCGCAACGGGGCTCAAATTACCCGCAGCCGATCATCCGTAAATGCTCTACACCGATTGGAGCAGTCAAGGGATTGGGGGGATACTCTGCCAGGAGGTGGAGGGAGAAGAGAAGGTGGTAGCCTATGCGAGCAGGAGCTGCAACTCGGCGGAGGTATAGTACAGTTCTTACATAGGGGAAGGGCTGGCGGCAGTATGGGCTGTGGGGCACTTCAGAGTGTATCTGCAGGGGAGGGAGTTCACCTTGGTGACTGATCACCAACCCTTGACCTGGCTGATGACAACACCGGGGTTGACGGGCAGGAATGCGCGGTGGGCAATGAAGTTGCAGGAGTACGACTTCAAGATCAAGCACAGGCCAGGGAAAACATTGCAGCATGTGGACGGTCTGTCTCGGAACCCCCCACCGCCAGAGCCTACAGTGACCTTGACACTGCTGGCAAGACTAGTGGAGCTGAATGGGGCCAAGGGACACAAGGGCCAAGCAGACATTTGGGAGGACGGACCAGCCATGAGGTGGGTGAAGGGAGAGACGGAAGAGGATGAAGAGCTGACTGCGCGAATAAGGGCAAGGGGACAGCACTACAGGTGGTACCAGCAGCAGTTGCAGGTGCAAACAGAGGATGGATGGAAGTTGGTGCCGGCACCGAGCGAGAGGGAAGCGGTGATCAAGGAGGTGTACACAAAGCTAGGACACTTTGGGCACGAGAGGACGGTGTAGCTGCTGAAGACAGGATGGTGGTGGGAGGGGATGCGGAGGCAAGTAAAGGGGTGGGTGGAGGGCCGTGAGGCACGCCAAAGGAGCAGGGCAAACCTCACCCAGGCCAAGGCAGAGCTACAGTCCCTGCGTATCCGAGGCCTAGGTTTCAGGTGGTCTCTGGATCTGGCGGGGGAGCTGCCGCTGAGCCAGGGAGGCAAGCAATACATAGTGCTTATGGTAGAGCATGTGAGCAAGTGGCTGGAGGTAAGGGCCATCCCGAGCAAGAGCTCAAGGCACGTGGCAGCGGCGTTCAAGGAACAAGTGATATGCAGGTTCGGGGCATGTGCAGAGGTCCTCACGGATTAGGGGACCGAGTTCCAAGGGGAGTTCAAGAAGCTGCTGGAGGAGACAGGGATCACCCACAGGCGCACCTCGCGGAACCACCCACAAAGCAATGGGCTGACCGAGCGCCTGGTGCAGACCTTGAAGCGGGGACTGCGAGCGTATGGGGAAAAGAGGAAGCGGGACTGGGATGAGGAGCTGTATAGGATTGTTGCAGGGTACAGGTTTGGGAAACAGGCGGCCTTGAGAGATCACTCTCCTTATAGTCTCCTATATTGATGTGAGCCGCTGCTGCCGGTGGGAGCAACATGGGTCCTGACAGATACAGTGACAGCGGGAACCATAGAGAACTGGGTGGCTCTGTCAAAAGCCAGGGCAAGGTACCTCAGGGTTATGATGCCAGCTGCGTTGGAAAACCTCCACACGGCACAACTGAGAGATGCTCGGCGCTATGAGCAGCGACAACAGCAAGGGGCGGGGGGAAGACCGAGGAAGGGAGTGAGTCAGGGACAGGAGGTGTACCTGAAGCGGGCAAAGCAAGACACGCTAGACGTTGGAGTGGGCTCTGAGAGGTGGAGAGTGAAAGAAGTGCGGCCATCAGGGGTCCTGGGAAAATGAGAAGGGAGCACTCCTGAAGGAGCACCAGAGTAACACTGCCATTGTGAGAGGGGGAAAGCCTCAACAGGAGGGTCCTGTGACACGAGCTCAAGCGGCTAGAGCCCGAGCACAGGAGGGGGCAGTGGGTGAGTGAGGCTGTACCATACGGAGCAGGGAGGAACAGGAGAAGAGCAGGTGCAGGACACAGAGCAGGTGCAGGAAGAAGAGCAGGTGCAGGAAGAAGAACAGGAGCTGCAAGGAAGAAGGTTCTCCGACAATCCACTCCAATACTACTTCCTGCTGGTACAATTTGGCATCATGGTGTCAAGGATTGCCGAGTGTATCGTCCACTCAGTTCGTTCGCTCCTTAAAGACGAACCTAAGAGATTGGTGCTCCAATTAGACATGGAAAATGCGTTGAACACGGTCAAAAGGAGTACATTACTTATGGCAGTACGATTATAAGGACTACATCCCACTCGCACGTACCCTGTACGGTGCCTCGTCATAACTGATTCTAGACTCCGGTCTTAATCAGCCATACATTGAGAGTGCCCGAGGAGTGCAACAGGGCGACCCGCTGGGGCCAACACTGTTTGCAGCGGCCAACCAGCTGACACTTCACAAGGCAGCGGATGAGTTCCCTTGTACGGTAGTGATGGCGTACCCTGACGACATCACCATCGTCGGCAGCCTGTAGGAAACGGGGAGGGCCTTTAACTTCATCACTTGCCAACTTCGCGGATGCAGACTGTGGTGTAACATGGAGAAATGTTCGGCGTGGAGCCCGGCGGGAACAGCGTAGAACCTTCCAAGTGGTCTGGTTGCAGCAGTGGATGGTGTTTGTGTCCTGGGAAGCCCCATTGGAACGCCGGCGTATGCAAAACGATTTATCAAGGCAGCCCTGTAGCAAGTCGCAGTGACACTCAATCTTACCGGTAAGCTCCACTCGCAACACGCCTTGCTTCTCCTCTCTCGCTGCATCCCTGGGCGAATCTCCTACATTTTGTGCTCGACACCTGCTAGCCTAGTGCCGCTAGAAGATTGGAGGAGTTGGAGCGAACGCTTACTATAGACAGCGCTTGAAGCTTCCCACGCATACTGATGTATGCTATGGATATAACTCTATCAACGGGAGCTAGACTACGGGAAAGGCACGGGGTAGGAGTGATCTCTGCTTTCGTTCGTTCCTTACTCGTTTCCTTATGCATACACTACTTGCTAGGTCACGGGAGAATTTGGCAAGAGTTTCACGAAGGAAAGTTGACAACAATAGTACAGAATAGCAAGATGACTAAATCAGAGCTAGCATGCAAGCAGGACGAGTGGCATGTCGCGATATATATTTATATATGTTTATAACTACCTGTAGCTTTAGCTTTAGTGTAGTTATGTTTCTTTGTTGTGGTGGTGCACCTCTTTGTTTCTTTGCTATATGTTCTTGCAAACCTATAGTGAAGACACACATTCTCGATTCTCTCTTGGCACAACTCCCTCGACACCCGCTTGGCCTAGGCTACTAAGCCTAGGCCCTTAGTTAAACCCGTTCCTAGCTAAGTTCGTCTCGTGACATGGTAACAGAGTGGTCCGTCCTAGGACCTATTTCGTTTATGGGCCCACCACATTTCGCGACTGCTACAGTTAGTGGCGCGAAATCCGCACCTTGCGTATCTTTTTTTTTTCCCTGCTGCTCGCGCTGCCCTTCGTCGCCTGCCTCGTCGCGGCTCTCAGTGCGACGGGCGCGGCGGATGCTATGGCGAACGCCAGCGGACCCGCCGCCAGCGACCCGCCAGCGAAGTCGCCAGCGGCCCGCGATCGCGTTTGCGCCATCGACTGCAGCCAGCGCCACCTTGCACCTCGCCCGTCGCACCGGCGGTCGCTGTGGGGGGGAGAGGGAAGAAGGGATGGGAGTGGCGGCGGAACTCTGTGGGGGCGAGAGGGAAGAGGGGATAGGAGTGACGGGGGAACGCCAGCGACGATCGCCAGAGCACTGGCGATCGCCCCAGCCGCTCATTCGCCCGCTCTGCCCGTCGCATTCCCCCCGCCCCCTGCCCGTCACCCCCCCCCCCCCCCCGTCGCGACTGTTTGCGTGTGCAGCGGCGGTCGCCATGGGGAGGAGAGAGAGGAGGGGAAGGGAGTGGCGGCGGGACGCTGTGGAAAGGAGAGAGAGGAGGGGAAGGGAGTGGCGGCGGAACAGCACCAGTGCCAGCCGCCAGCACCAGGCACCAGCGCCAGCCGCCAGCACAAGGCACTAGCGCCAGCGCCAGCCGCCAGCACCAGGCACCAGCCGCCAGCACCAGGCACCAGCACCAGCACCAGCGCCAGCCGCCAGCACCAGGCACCAGCACCAGCGCCAGCCGCCAGCACCAGGCACCAGCACTAGCGCAAGCCGCCAGCACCAGGCACCAGCCCCAGCCGCCAGCCGCCAGCACCAGGAACCAGCACCAGCGCCAGCTGCCAGCACCAGGAACCAGCACCAGCGCCTGCCGCCAGCACCAGGAACCAGCACCAGCGCCAGCCGCCAGCACCAGGCACCAGCCCCAGCCGCCAGCCGCCAGCACCAGGAACCAGCCCCAGCGCCAGCCGCCAGCACCAGGAACCAGCCCCAGCGCTAGCCGCCAGCACCAGGAACCAGCCCCAGCTCCAGCCGCCAGCACCAGGAACCAGCACCAGCGCCAGCCGCCAGCACCAGGAACCAGCCCCAGCGCCAGCCGCCAGCACCAGGAACCAGCCCCAGCGCCAGCCGCCAGCACCAGGAACCAGCCCCAGCGCCAGCCGCCAGCACCAGGAACCAGCCCCAGCGCCAGCCGCCAGCACCAGGAACCAGCCCCAGCGCCAGTCGCCAGCACCAGGAACCAGCCCCAGCGCCGGCCGCCAGCACCAGGAACCAGCCCCAGTGCCAGCCGCCAGCACCAGGAACCAGCACCAGCGCCAGCCGCCAGCACCAGGAACCAGCCCCAGCGCCAGCCGCCAGCATCAGGAACCAGCCCCAGTGCCAGCTGCCAGCACCAGGAACCAGCACCAGCGCCAGCCGCCAGCACCAGCACCAGCAACCCCACCTGTGACCAGCAGCCCCACCTGTGACCAGCAGCCCCACCTGTGACCAGCAGCCCCATCTATGACCAGCAGCCCCACCTGTGACCAGCAGCCCCACCTGTGACCAGCAGCCCCACCTGTGACCAGCAGCCCCACCTGTGACCAGCAGCCCTACCTGTGACCAGCAGCCCCACCTGTGACCAGCAGCCCCACCTGTGACCAGCAGCCCCACCTGTGACCAGCAGCCCCACCTGTGACCAGCAGCCCCACCTGTGACCAGCAGCCCCACCTGTGCCCAGCAGCCCACCTGTGAAAGACTGTACAGGGACCATCGTGGGTTGGGAGAGGTATGGAGGAAGACAGGGGTGGAGGGAGTGCGGTTCTAGGGGGCGACTGAAATGGGGGGTGAGGTTGAGGGCGGGTGGTTGGTTGGGGGTGGGGATGTGGGGGTTAGTAAGAGGGGACGCTGCGGCCACCCCCCCACCTCTTCTCCTCATCCCCCACTCAACCCCCCCTTTCGTAAAAGGGGGTTAGTAAGAGGGGACGCTGCGGCCACCCCCCACCTCCTCTCCTCATCCCCCACTCACCTCCTCCTGTGTTCTTATCTATTCTCCTCTCCTCTCTTCCTCTTGCCTCCTCCTCCTCACGTACCCCTCTGCCGTCTCCCACCGCACCTGCCCCTTCAGGGGGTGTGACTTGCTCTAGCTATGTGCTGCAGGCAGTTAAGGGGGTGTGTCGCGATATATATTTATATATGTTTATAACTGCCTGTAGCTTTAGCTTTAGTGTAGTTATGTTTCTTTGTTGTGATGGTGCACCTCTTTGTTTCTTTGCTATATGTTCTTGCAAACCTATAGTGAAGACACACATTCTCGATTCTCTCTTGGCACAACTCCCTCGACACCCGCTTGGCCTAGGCTACTAAGCCTAGGCCCTTAATTAAACCCGTTCCTAGCTAAGTTCGTCTCGTGACATGCCAGCGCTGCACGGTCGACCGCGTTCCAGCACGACTTGGTCGACCGCGCTCCAGCAGAGCAAATTCGCGGCCTGCCAACACTGCATGTCGAGGGCGTGCCAATGCTGCAGCAAGTCGGCTGCACAGCGTTGCACCCGCAGGACAGCAGCGCACCTTCTTCGTAGGTGCCCGCAGATGATTGGCATGATGTGCCTCGTCACCTGCACAGCGCACACGCCAAATCGTCCTCGTGCTAACGACTGCACCTGATCAGCCATGTCGACCTCGGGATACCACCACCGAGGCCGGCCTCGCCAAAACCGCCAGCGCAACCGTCGCACTCCTCTGCAGAACCTCGTCGCCCAGGTAACCTGGTCTATCGGGCAACCCCGTTGACCAGCTCCTTCTCCTTGTGCTCGTCGACCACCCAAGTCGACGACCCCCTCCAGTCGACCACACCAGGTCGACCACATCCCTGGTCGACCAGCTCCAGGTCGACCACACTCCTGGTCGACCATTCCCAAGTTGACCAGCGCGACTGTCAGCCGACCACCTGAGTCGGCTTCCCTAAGTCGGCGTCACCAGGTCGACGCCCTCCACAGGTCGACCTCCCAAGTCGACCTCCCGAAGTCGGCGCCCTCCCAAAGTGGGCGCCCTTGCAGTGGCCCCTATGCAGGTCGACCAGCCCTGTCGACCAGCTTGCCCACTGCTGCAGGTCGGCTACACCCCTCACACCCGACCACGAAGTCGGCACCGCCCAAGCAAGGACGGGGCCAAATGCAACTCTTATTGACACTCCCCTACCGCGTTCACGCTTGGGCCCTCAGCTGACACGGCAGCACCACTTGGAGAATAGCTCGTCGGCGTGCACCCAACACACAGCACGCCGATTACTGCACCAGCGATGCAAGAGAGCATGGCACCTACTGCTGCATGTTGTCTTTGCCGTCGCCCACGTCGGCCAGGTGCAGTGGACCGATTGCAACAGAGCACCGGCTGAAAGCCGGACAGTGCAGTGCCTTCGTCAGGAAGTCGACGGGCTGCTCAGTGGTCAGGATGTACTGCAACGAAAACTTCCCGTGCTTCACCATGTGCTGCAGTAAGGCTTGTCGCCGCTTCATGTGCATGAGGTTTCCCGTCAACACCATGCCCCATGCCCTAGCTGCCCGTGCTCGTCCGATTCTGCTTGTCGCCACCGTCGTCGGCATCCACGTAGCCGACCAATTTCAGCGACTCTGGTCCACCGGCAAACTCCAGGGCGGTGTCACGAGTGTTGGCAAGATAGGTGGGACAGCGGTCGACATTGCGCTAGTGCTGGTCGCTCCTTGTCGTGAGGCCGCTCCCCAGCTTGCTGCACGCGAAGGCAATGTCCGGCCTAGTCGTCGTCGCCGCGAACTGCAGCGAGCCGACTTTTGCCAGTACTCCTCCTGTCGCTCCTGTGTCTCCTCGTCGCCGAACGTCAGCTCGGCGTAGGCATCGACCGAGACCGGCGTCTTCATGGTACGCTCAGTCTGGTTCTTGTCGATGAACCACCAATGCAGCTTGTCGTCGTAGCCACAGCTTCCTTGCCAGCCTGTCGCGAACGATCTCCAGCCCGAGGTACTTCTGCACCGGCAAGATCTCTCGCAACTCGAAGGCGGCCTCCAGCAGCTCCTTCAGCTCCTTCAGCATCGCTGCACTACTGCTGGTGGCAAGCATATCATCGACGTAGACCAGCACCCAGCAGGCCACACAATCCTCGCCGAACTTGAAGTAGAGCGCCGTGTCGACCTGGCTCTTCTTCCATCCAGCGCCCCGCAGTACACCGTCGAGAGCCCTGTACCACAGCAACGGCGACTGCTTCAGCCTAGAAGCTCTTGAGCAGATTGCACGCCCGGCCGGTCATGTCGTTGTTGTCCGGCTGGTACATGTACAGCACCCGGTCGAGCTTGCTCTGCACGAAGGCGTTCTTCATGTCGAGCTGCATCAGGTTGAGGTCGAGGACAGCGACGGTGCTGAGGAAGTTTCTCAGCGTGACGTAGCTGCTCACCGGCGCGTGCGTCTTATCGTAGTCGGCGCCATACACCTGCGTGAAGCCCTTCACGACCAGCCTAGCCTTCTCGTGCTCGACGGTGTCGTCGATGTGGTACTTCGTCATTAGCACCCACCGGTTCTTCATGATGTTCACCCCGGGTGGGCGTTCGACCAGTTCCCAAGTGCCTATGCCGATGAGGCTGCGGATCTCTTCTTCCATGGCGGCCTTCACCGCCTTGCCCTTCCAGCTCGCCAACGCTTCCTTCATCGTCATCGTGGAGATGTCCCAGCGGTGCTTGGGGTCGGCGTGCATGTCGGGGTCGAGTTCCGGCAGGTCCTCATCCTCCTCGTCGTAGTTGTACAGCAGGTCGTTGTCGACCTCATCGTACACCGTGGTGAAGGCAGCCGGTACGAAGAAATCGGGCGGCCTCCGAATTCGGCCCGACTGCCGTGGTCCAGGCTGGACCTCCACCACGTCGCTGTCGGTGGACTCCTCGGCGTCCCCTCCTTCGTCACCGGCGTCGCTGCCCTCAGGTTCCTGCTGCACCATAATCAGCTTCCTTGCTGACTTCTCCTATGCGGTCGGCTCCCCTGCCGACTGCCTGGTCGCCGACTGCTCCATGGCCGGCTTCGCTTCTGCCTGCTCCCCTGTCGGCGGCTTCCCAGCTGATGCCTCCTTCGTCGGCTCCACCAAATTCGGCTGCACCTTCTTTGCCTGCCGCTCCTCTGTCGGCGTCGACTTCACTCCCACGCCGACATGCTGAGCGTCACGTCGGCCACCGGCGATGTTCTTGGCCGGCGCCACAAACGACGTCCCACTGCTCCCCTCATTGCCGCTGGCCAACGTCGATGTCAGCTAACGCAGGTTGGCTACACGAGGTGGGGAAGGAAAGGCAGGGGAGGGGGGGTGGACGACCTCGGCGTGCTCATCAGCAAGCGCGCTAACCTTGGCGAGCAGAAGGAGCATCGCCGTCGAATTGTCGGTCGGCGGGTTGACCTGTGTCCGACCCGACGCCGGCCCGTGCTCCGACTTCCACACCTCCAGTGACATGGTTTGGTAGAACACCACGTCCGACGTGGTGACCACCCTGTTGTCGATGAGGTCGAGGAGTTCCCAGCCCTTGCTCTCCTCCGACACGCCGAGGTGAAGGCCCCACTTGGCCTTCGGCTTTAGCTTCCCACCACGCTGCTACTCGGGGACGAGGAACTGCGCCATGCAGCCCCATACTCGTGCTAGCGACAAGTCGGGCTTCATCCTGGGGAGTAGCTGGTACGGCGTCGTCCACGGCAGCAGCGTCGACCTCTCAAGGGAGTTGCGGACTTAGACGGCCTGCCGCAGAGCGAGGTGCCACCAGTGGTGCTGCATGCCCATGTGCAGCAGCATCGTTTGCACCGACTCCACCACCATCCTCATCTCCCGTTCTGCCATGCCATTTTGATGCGGGGTTTACGGGCAGGTCAAGTCGTGTACGATCCCCTTGCCGTCCACAAAGTCGGTAAACTGCTTCTCGAGGAACTCCCCTCCCCGGTCAAAGCGCAGCATCAGCACCGCCATCGCCTGGAAGCCCTCGCCGGCCTCCTGCGCCAGCGAGACGGTCGGTTCCACGACGCCCACCAGCGAGCACGACGCCTCCTGGTCACCTCGCCCTTTGCCGCCAGAGGAGGATTCGGCGTCCTTCGCCGAGGTCGACGGCTTGGTCGACTGCTTCTCATTGCCTGGCTTGTTCTCCCGATGAGGACGACGCTCGGTTGACCTCCCTCGGCCTCCCTTGGTGTTGTTGTGATCGCATTCACTGCGGTTGGGGCACTCGAAGGAGAGGTGGTCAGGGCTATGGCACAACCAGCACTCACGAAGTCGACTTCCGCCTCCTCGACCGCCTTCCTTGGTCGACTTCTGCTTTTCGGCGTCCTCAGCCGGCCTCCCACCACCGCTTCCACCGACGTCAGGCTGCCTGCGCTGTCCTAGTTGACCACCTTGCTTCGCCGGGACGGCGTAGTTCACCTGCGGCAGGAGGTCCATGGAACGCTCGGCCTCCTGCATCGCCTCATCCCTGAGGATAAACTTGAATCAGCCGTAGCTCGGCGCTATCCCACTCGCTGTCACGTGAATCGCCGACAATGGCGTCAATCCACTTCGTCGACCTCTGACGTCACCTTGCAAGGACCCTCCAGTCGCCGACGACTGCATCCTTCGCGCGTGAACGCCGTCGACTTCATCGGCGTGAATCACACCTCGCTGCCTCAACGTGCCTCTCGCACTACTTCCGACTTGGTTACCAGCGTGACACCCACGTCGACGCCGCCTTCGGTGTTCACCGGTCGAGGAGAGGCTGGTCAAGAAGGGTGCTCCGTTGCCCACACAGA